ATCTCCTCTTGGCAGCTTGTTGGCTCCTTCTTGCTGATAATCATAATTGCACCTTGTCATGTTCTTCCCACACATGCGCTCAGTAATCTCATGTTAATTCATGAAAATCATGTGTGTATGTAAATATACATGTATGTGTATATGTATATATGTACACACACATATTCTTCCTGTTACTAGGCAGTACAATTTATGAAAAGTGTATTAATAAAACTATTTTTAGTATGAACTTTTCCCCTCTCTCTGTAAAAGGTTATTGTTAGAAAAGTCATGTTATTGCTTTTTTTCTTGCCTTTCTGTTTTTGGCAGAAATGAAGCCCTTTTGGTTGTGTGTGTTTTCTCAAAATATTTCATGTCCCTCCATTAACGAGACCCCACTGCGGTCCTCCGACAGGACAGGCCCCCTCCCCTTGTTGACACTATCCTGGTAATTAGTCCTCTTGAAAAATTCGTTTTAAATCATCAGATGCTGTCACAGATCTTGCCTCGCATCCTGGTTACTATGGTAATCTGGTGGAGGAGTCCATGGGAAAATCTTGCCTGGTGACAGAGGAGATAGAACGGGACCTGCACCGTTCCTTACCGGAGCACCCCGCCTTCCAAAACGAAACGGGAATTGCTGCTTTGAGGAGAGTCCTGACGGCTTACGCCCACCGGAACCCCAAAATTGGGTACTGCCAGGTGAGGTGTGCGCTGGGAAGCTGAATCCTTTATTCCAGGTCTGGGGTTGACCAGCAGGCCTCAGGGTGTGTTGTTTGGGCCACCTGTATGGAGGACTGTCATGTGAGGGCTCCGTGCCCATTCCTTCCCCTGAAGAAGGTAGCGAACGAGGCCAAAGGAAATCCTCTTCATAGAGTCAGACAGGCTGATCCTTGGAGGTCAGAAACATTGCCTGGTGCCTGACAAGAGCCTCACGGGAGCTGCGTCCATACAGGCAGTGTCTTCATGCCCCGTGGGCCCCTGTGGGAAGACGGCCTTGATATGGCTGCTGTGGAGCTTTGCTTCTCTGGAACTTACAGGGATGATTGAAAAAATGGCAGTGCTATTAGGGGAGGAAAAAGATATCTGGGGTAGCTCACTTCCCCCGAGGACTCAGGAAGTTTGCTCAGTGTACTCAGGGAAGCACTAAACAGCACAACGTAAATACCAGTAAACAAAACAACAAAAAGTCCTAACCCAAGACTGGCTTAGAGGAGTTTCTGACATTTAAAACTGTTTCTGACATTATTAAGGTTTTTAAACTTTGTTTTCATGTGAATAAGCAAAATGCAGCATTACTAGATGGGGACAGGGACGGAATGGTGGCTGATCACTCGGCCTGGTGTATCATGTTGCTAGGACACGTGGTCGTTCGCCTGCACGAGCATCTCTGTGGTTGGGGTATGCTGGATCTTGACTTTTGTGGGTCATTTGGGCTTGTGTGTTTGTTAATGTCTCTGTGGCTCTGTGCGGTCTGGTCAGTAACTGTTCCCTCTCCTGTGAACCCCCGATCAGTCCATGAACATTCTGACGTCCGTCTTGCTGCTATACGCCAAGGAGGAGGAAGCCTTCTGGCTGCTGGTCGCTGTGTGCGAGCGGATGCTCCCAGACTACTTCAACCATCGGGTCATTGGTAAGCTCCCTCCTCCTCTGTACCTGGGGATAGTGACAGAGCCTGGGCACGGATGCTTCTCACCTATCCTGCTTCTAAAATCCGCGGTGCCACTCAGCTGCCCTCTGCACAAACACTGTTTGGCTCTTGGGTCTGGAAAGCTAACGGTGTAATTCTCTGCACAGTCCTGGCAAAATAATAGAATGAGGTAACCTGATCACTCGCTTGCTACAAACCCATGCAGATTTTGGATTAAAACAATAATTTTACGTGGATAGCTGAACTTACAAGAAGGACAGAAAAATTCTAGGCTCAAGAAACAAGTTGAAAAATGAAAACTGGAGAGGTTTTTATTGATGCTGAGGCCTGGGAAGGGAGCGGGGTCTTGCTGTTGGTACCCAGGCAGCTCATGCAGACTGGAGAGGAGAGGAGGTGAGCACAGCAGTGCTGGCGAGTCCCACAGTCAGGCCCGACCTGAAGGGCAGACCTGGAGAACGTCTCCCACTGCATAAGGGACAAAGCTCATTGGTTGCTGCCCGGGCTCTGGGCAAACCTGTGAAGCCACGTTCCTCAAGCATTTGGTGCTTTGGTCTTTTCATCTGGTTGATATTTGAATTTGTACTATGTCTGTGGTCCAGCAGCCTCCTGGTGGAGAAAGTGACACAAAAATTGCTTTAGTGATACTCTTCTGGGCACTTCTCAGTAATCCAGATGGAGAGATGGAGATGGCCCAAAATTAGGGTGACAGCAGTGGGAACAGAAACAAAAGAACCAGCTTGATGCAGAATGTGACCAGGGACTGGATAGAGAGGCAAGGCAGGAAGAAGGGCTTCCAGGCTCGTCCTGAGAACTGAGGGGATGTGTTCACCCCTGGGAGTGAGGGGGAGGGCTGGCTGGGAGGGAGGTGGCCTTTCAGTATGACTGCGACCATCTCCCCTGGTTTCCTTCCTGTGCCTGAGTGGTCAACTGGCTTGTGTCCCTTTTCACTTGATAATGTGGGAGGCGGTTAAGCGTATGGAGAAGTAAGGAATAATCAGAACCTCAGGGTCACGGGAGACATGTTGTCAGTTGACGATTGTTGCTATGGGACACCTCCACAGTGACCAGCAGACACCCCGTGATAATGTATACATTTGTGTGACCCCACCTCGTACAGGGTGGGACATGTGGAGCCTTTCCACCTGCAAAGTCTCCTTCTGCCCCTTCCCTGCAGGCAACACTTGGCACTGATTTCTGTCAGCACAGATTAATTTGGCCTGTCCTTGAACTTGGTATGAATGTAATAATAGAGGATGTTCTCCTTTGTGACTGGCTTCCTTTGCACAACACAATGTCTTTGGTGCATCACTAGTTTGTCCCTTCTCCTTGCTGAGTATTCATACCATCAGCTATTGATAGACTTTTGAGTTATTTCCAATTTTTTATCCTGAGTAAAGTTGCAATGAACATTCATGTATAAGTCTGTGTGAATACTATATTCTTGGATTTTGTTTGAGTATTTACCTAGGAGTAGAATTGCCGGGTTATAGGTTAGATGTATGTTGAACTTTATAAGAAACTGTCAGTTTTTCAAAGCATATATAATAAGTCACATATTTCACTTACACCAGCAATGTGTGGGACTTACAGTTAGTTGCTCCACATCTGTTAACACTTGCAATTTTTAATTTTATTTTAGCCATTCTAGTGGGTAAGAAGTGGTATATCGTAGTTTTAATTTGCATTTCTTTGGTTAATGTTGAACATGTAGTTTTGTGCTTACTGGCCATTTATTTATCATCTCTTTTTTTTTGTTTTTGTTTTTGTTTTAAAGATTTGTTATTGGGGAATTGGGGAATTGGAACAGCGCTGGGGAATTCGGGGAAGGGGAACAGACAAGTTGCTGTCCTTTTGTTCTTCAGTCTAGTGGTGGAGGATGTTGCTTCACTGGCCCAAGTTGGCACCATCATTGCGCTCTTCCCGGGTGAGGCAGATCAGTCGCCGGCTTCTGGACGGNAATGTTTTCTTCCCATCTGTTTTGCCAAGGAAATGGCATTTTATTTGCGTAAATGCTCTCACTGGGCTCTGAACCCCCCAAGGGCTGGTACTCTGTGTTTTTTATCTTTACATCCTCTGGGCCTGGTAGAGGTTCAGAGATATGTGCTAAATACATAGCCTGTCCCTGTTCCCAGAGGTGACGCTCCTCTGTTAGGGACTAGTGGACGGGCTGTGGCAGCAGGTGCGGACAGGGCTTCTTTGTACCTGAAGGCTGTTTCCACTTCCAGTCCAGAGAACAGATAAAAACAAGCCTGTGGAACGACCACTTTGTGGAATACGGCAGAACGGTGTGTATGTTTCGCACAGAGAAGATCCGGAAGCTTGTGGCCATGGGGATCCCTGAGTCACTACGTGGCCGACTCTGGCTCCTTTTCTCAGGTAGGTGGTTCCAGCCAGTCTTTAGGTCAAATGTGATTCCTGGAGCAGACACAGGAACAGGGGCCCATGTCTGACCCGTGTGTGTGTGTGTGTGTGTGTGTGTGTGTGTGTGTGTATGATGGTCATCTGTCCTTAGAGTTATCCAGTGCGTTCCCAGCCAAGACTTCTGAGCCTCACTGTGTCAGCTGTGGGACCCCAGTCAGGGTGCCTGAGGCCTCTGGGCTGCAGTGTCCTCTGTGGTCAGTGCTGGTCTGGTTGAAGTGACCTTCTCTCCTTTAAAAGTGATTCTGAGTCTATACGTAGTCCCGAGAATTCTGTTAAGAGCCAGTGAGGTGTCCTCTAGG